TTCAACAGCCCTCAAGAGCATGACGTTCACTAGATTGTTTCTCAGGTTTTATGTTTTAGTTTAGTTTTTATTTTGAGGCATGGTCAACTGATTTCAGGCTGACTTCGAATTTACAGTGTGGCGTAGGCTTATTTTGAGGTCAAGAGATCCTCCTGCTTCTACTTCTGAGTGCTGGGATTATGGGCATTTGTTACTATCCCAGCATATTTCCTGTTTTGAATGCTTTACTAAGCATGAGCAACTGAACAAACTGAATAGTATAATACTGTTCAGAAAAGGGAACTCCTTTTGGGGATTTTTCTTTGTTTTTGTAGTGTGCTTGTGCGTGTGCATGTGTGTGTGTGTTACGCAGAGGTGCCCTACTCAGGCTGTACTGTTTGTTTTGCATCGCTAGGATGCTAGGGTGGAAATTTTCAGTGGATGGGCACAGGGCTCAATACCTTGAACAGAAGACACCAAGCGTGTGCAAGCATTCTCAGCTTTAATTTATACAGCTTATTGGAACCCTTCTAACTGTTTTAACTTTGGATAATCATCTGACTTGTGACAGCAGGGTGCTCGTAACTGTAACACCACTTCTACTTCCATGGTCTTAATGGGCTAAAGGCAGGTGTGTGCAGTGCCATCACTTCCAAAATTCCTTCCCCCTTTGCAATGATTGATATTCCACTGGGGAAGCCCTCATTGTGTGTTCCATAAATGACAAAAAACTTCAATCCTGAAACCTCTTTATCTCTTGGTTCTGCATACTCTGAACACAGGCTTTCCATGTTGATATCCCAGAGAAGGCAATGGGGAGGGCCTTCTATGATGCCACAGTAGACAAAGCACAGAGCTTCATTTCACAGCATCTTTGAGCCTGTCTCTGTGGGTATCATCATACAACATCAAGCTTTGGAGCTGGTTCTGTACTTTTGTACAGGTGATATCTGAAATGTAGTGTAGGTAGGAAGGACAGGAAGGGAAGTACAGACAGAGTACTTCTGGGGAGAGTCACTCTGGGGAGAGTCTCTCTGGGGAGAGTTTACTTTGTGAAATGTGTAGGTCACCATGCCTTATCATCAGGAAGTGATTGTGTACCACAATGCATTTCAGCAGTCCTTTGGTCCTCCTGGTAAAAGAACATGACCAGTAGTCAGAAGTCAAGATTTTTTTAAATGATCTTGGATGAAGTAGGCTGCTTGTCTGAGGCTGTTGAAATATTCCTTTCTTTTACATCTTGATATTTTTTGCAGAATATTCTCAGCATATGCCAGGTTTCTCTTGTGTATTAGATAGTTATGTTCTCTTTTTAGTATATTTTAGTATTCTTTGTTGAAAAAAGGTAGATTAAGAGATAAGGTATGAGAAAGGCTGCACAGACAAGTCAAGTGCTTCATGTAAATTTCTATCCTCTGACAAATTTAAACCTTTCCTTCTATTCCGTTGTCCTGTCCTGGTCTGTGGCCCAGCTTCTCTGTTCATTTTCAAGTTTTCCCATGAGATACTGAAGCTCAAGTGCAGGAGTATAGTTGGGACCTGATATTCAGGGGCAACACGCTGAAAAAGCCCATTGAGTACAGCAAGAAGACAGTGGCAGTTCTGGAAATGCTGGAGCAAATGCTATGATTCCCACGCTGGGTGAAGTCCATGTCTTGGGAGGAAGCTGGTGTTAGAAAAAATTTTGTTGTAGTCTATCTTTATGCTTCTCTCAAAAATGCAGTGTGTATTCTGTCTTTTCCTTTTTGGCTCATAGAGGGATGAAATGGGGCGGCAGTGCTTCAGGGAAGGAAGGCTAGTTCCGTGTAAACTGTCTAGTCAGGCTCGCTGTCCAGAATGAGGACTCTTCTTTCCTCAGGAACCCAAGTCAAAGCTCCCAGTATGCTGCTGAAAGACCGCCTGGCTGGCTCACACTGACTAGCTCAGTGACATTTCCTGGTGGTAGATTGCATGGGTTGGGCCTTGAGAGACCCCTGTAAATGGTGATGTGCAGGCTCCATTGGCCAAGACAGGAGTGAGGCTGTGGTGGATGCAGGAGGTCAGTCACATGTGGACAGAAGCAACCTTGGCAGGACCTAGATCTCTGCATCACCTGAGAGGTCTTATTCCTGTGTGTCCCCTGCTAATTTTATGCCCTTGTTATCTTCTGGCTTTCAGGATGAGACTACCAGGCCCTGAGCATCCTGTGCTGTGCAAGTGAGGTGACTTGAGCATGTCCAAAGCTCTTTCATGGAACGCTCGGTGCCTGCTCCTCAGTTACCATCATATTGGGCACTGACATCTAGACAGTGTTGGTGGAATCTGCTGACTCTTGTGTGATGTGCATGTTTGAGTGACACTGGACTGGCTTGTGTCCTCTGACTTCTCTTTCATCTTCACTCCTGGTATCGTGATTGATTTCTGAAATATTCCCCAAATGTCTTTTGTATTAAAACTTGATTGGATAATGTATTAAAACTTTGATTTATGAGTTGATGAGTTCGGCATGTGTGTGTGTGTGTTGTAAGCTGGTCAGGCTTGGTTGGAAGAACTTCATCTGGGACATTTCCTGGAAAAGTGTATTCTTGTTTATAGCTTCTCTCATTTTTCTCTGCTCTTACACTGCTGTGGTAAGCTGATCTGATTCAGCTTAATGTAGGAAGGTCATCATGGGCCCATTATCTAGTACAAACAGCATGTAAAAGGTCTTGAAAAGTAGGATAAAACAACATAAAGATAATTTGAGTAATAATAAAAATCTGAATGTACAGTTTGAGCCCATGAAACCAATTTTGAGGACTTAGACAATAGGCAGTATCATTAAGGTGATATCGAGGGCTTCCTTTTGTAATTTATAAAGTTGGTCTTCCAGTAGGCTCTGGAGTTTGGTAATATCTCCACCAAGAATCGTATAAAAAGCACCATGGAGAAGGTGCTGGACCTCCTCTTTGTACTCTGAAAGGTTAAATGGGATGCCTACAGAATGGTAACTGGCATCACCACTAATTTGATGGTATATATGAAGAGCTTTTCGATGTTGATTGAGCCCAATGACTGTTACCTGAAGTACATCAATTTTATCATGTTTCTTTGATAAGTGTTGGTCTGAGTTATCAATTCAGAGGTAATATTTTAAAAAGAGCTATTCATAGTTTGAGCAGTTTGAATGGAATGAGTTAAGGTGGCCACAATTTTCACTGAAGCTGTCACATAATGACTGTCTAGGAAACATTTTGTCTAATAAATTTTAATGTTGAAGATTTGTTTAAGGGCTGAATTTTATTTATCCATTCTTAAGATTGGTTGGTATCCAAGTTTTGGGTTGCTGTCTCTATACTGTAATAATGAATAATGTTTAATTAGGAGATATTAAAAACTATTTATATAACATTGGGATGGGAAGGAATACAATGACCACTATCTGATATTGGGACTTTATGTATAGAAATTCTCTGATCAGAAAGTACTGTGGGGGGAGTAACAGGCACAAACCTTTGGAATAGCCAGGGTGCCTACCGTACAGTACCTCCCACAGTCTCTCAGGGGCCGGCAGGTGACAGCTAAGTTCTGTCTGTATATGGGGTTTCATTAGAGGGAAGAGTGAAAGTAAAAAAGTAAAAATGATACTTTCATTACTTTTATTATGAATAACGTCAGTTTTAATTATGTTTAGAGTCTCTACCCCATAAAACAAATTAGGGCACTGCTGGATTGAATCAGGCAACTGTTATTTTTTTATCAATTGTGGTTGTCTAAGAAGTTGAACTCCTATTGAATGTTAACAGATATCAATTACAAAGTTGAGAGAAAACTTCAGACTAAGGACAACATAAATTTTTTTTTATTTTTCGTGTAACTATATCTAAGACAAGTGAAGTAAGAAGATAACCCTAATAAGCCATGTCACTTACTTGTGGTGTATATCAGTGATCTCAGGAAGATAGAGAGCCTTTTTACCTTTGTAATTTTGGAGGTGCAAGTGACTGTCAGTCTTTGTAAGAAACAGGTTTTCAAGAGTGAAAAAAAGTCTTGTGCTATGCAGCATCTCTTCAGCTGAGTGGTGAGTTGCTCTTCCATACTGCTGAGAAACCTTCTGAGTCACAATTTAGAAAATTTAAAATGTTATAAAAGTAATTTAAAATCTTGGTCCATATTCCTCCCTTTTTTGTTTTATAAACTGAGTTTTAAGGAGCTCATTGGGTCATTCGAGAACAGCTTGTCTCATGGAATTACAAGGGATGTCCATGTCATGTTTAACATGTCAAAGTCAGCAGAAAGTTTGTAAAGAAATTGGAATTGCCCCTCATTAGACCTCTAGAAAACATATTAATGATACTTTCCTCACTTTTATTATGAATAACGTCAGTTTTAATTATGTGTAGAATCTCTACCCCATAAAACAAATTAGGGCACTGCAGGAAAATCAGGCAACTGTTATTTTTTTTATCAATTGTGGTTGTCTAAGAAGTTGAACTCCTATTGAATGTTAACAGATATCAGTTACAAAGTTGAGAGAAAACTTGAGACTAAGGACAACATAAAATTATTATAATGATCACAATGACATCATTACATTAAATGATATGAAGAAACTTTTACCCAGTTTTGTAATCTTTCAATGCAGTGTCATCTAAGAAGAAGCATCTGTCCAAGATGTATTTTATGTGATATTATTTGGGCCAACAGTCAGCATTTTTCACTATTGTAGCATAAATATATAACATACACATAGTAACAATGGAAGCAGAAGCCTTGCAAAAGTGCATTTACCTTTTGGGTTGTATCTCATGTTAGATTGCCACATATTTTTTATCCTAAGTAGTTGGAAATTATTCTTTCTGCTGCTGCTGTGGCAGTGAATTCCAAACTAGCATCAGAATTTCAGTGTGAAAAATGTCTGCATATTCTTGGGTTTGGTGACCAAGTCATGGAGTTAATATTTGGAGGAATCAACCTCAATTCAGCTTTTACAATAGGATTTCAGATATCTCAGGGTGTAAGCCTCAACTTCTTTCAGGCAATCTGTGTATGTGATTATTTAGGAAGCACTGACCTTTAAGGATGTAGCTGTGAATTTCACCAAGGAGGAGTGGGCTCTGCTGAATCCATCCCAGAAGAAGCTCTACAGAGATGTGATGAAGGAAACATTTAGGAACATGACTGCTGTAGGTAAGAATGACAGCATTTTTCTCATCTATGCAATGAGAGAGCCTTGGTTCTTGTTCATTAGCACAGACACTGTAAATAGACTGACATTTTGAGGAATATCTCAGACCTTTGCATTATACCATTTTTATATACTGACATAGTCACTTTTTCTATTTCTATGGCTATTCAGGAAGGTCCTTGGACAACTGGCAAATTGAAGAACATGAAAATCTCTCAAGAAATCTAAGGTAATTTACATTTGTAAGAAAAGGAATATTCCCTAAATGTCAATGTGTGATCAGAAATCTTACAACCAAAGAAACTGAAAATATGAGACTGTGTTCCAATTTGTTTTCTCTCATAAAAGTTCTCCAGATATGCATATAGATTAATTTTTTATAATCTGACAATTGAATACAGTGATGTTCCAATATAGGAAACTAAGTTTGTAGTGATATTCTATAAGTGATGGTATACCATACATCAGTATAACAAAATTATTTCATGATTAGCATCATGAAAATGTATGAAATTGCATATATTCATTGTGTATAGGAGTATCTGAAAAGAATAAATTTTGAACTTTTTTTTGCCTTTTTCCTTTTTATCAGTACCAGGGATCGAACTCATGACTGCCTGCTTGCAAGGCAGGCGCTTATGCCGCTGAGCTAAATCCCCAGCCCCAATTTTGAACTTTTACAGGAACTAATTTTCAAGTTATCCATGTATACATATATATGAATATGATACATACATTATCTTAAAAATTGCTAATTTATTTTTTTTTTTAGATAGGTTCTCACTATGCAGTTCAGGCTAGCCTTGAACTCACTTTGTAGCTCAAGCTGGTCCCGAACTTGCAATGATCCTCCTGCCTCAGCCTCCCCAGTACTAGCATTACAGGTGTGTACTACCATACCCAGTTTGCATTCATGTTTTAAAATTCTTAGAAAGCAGTCTTAGTAGGACTATAAAATAGAACAATTTTGATAACCAACATACAGATGTCTCAAAAAGTAAAAATAACAATTTGCATTTGATCTAGGAAAACCTGCAAATGTGTATTCTGAAAGGGTTTTGAATTATCCTATGTTAGTGGTATGTGCTTCTCATATTCAAAGCAGGGTGTACATGGGTATGTACAGTTCTAGAAATATTTCATAATATCTAAGCTCAGACGACAGACTGGATGCCTATCACTATGTGCATGAATGAAGAGCTGATGGCAAAGGCTCAGCATGGTGGTGTCTTCTGATAATCTCAGTACTCTGGGAAGCTGAGCCAGCAGGATGACAACATGCAGTTCACCCTGAGCAAATTAAAAATCTTTTTTTTTTTTTTTTTGCCTTTTTCCTTTTTATCAGTACCAGGGATCGAACTCACAACTGCCTGCTTGCAAGGCAGGCGCTTATGTGGCTGAGCTAAATCCCCAGCCCCGAGCAAATTAAAAATCAATGAGTCTCAAAGTTAAAAATTAAAAAAACACTAGAAATATAATTTAGTGCCAAGATCATCCATAATGAATAATAATATATCTTTTGCCAAAATTTAGTTGGTACTTCATTTCTTTATGGTAAAAGGAATAAATCAAACACAGAAAGTGAATTACCTTACGTTTTCTTTTATGTGAGATACCAAAATATGAATTAGGGAATAAAATTAAGGAGAAGTTGTAGAGAGCAGAAACGCTGGCTTGTTGGAGATGGGAAAGATGACCAGGGTATGAAGAAATGGTGAAAGTGATGGGGAAAAGTGTGTCAAAAATTATGAATATGTGATACACATATGCATCAGTGACCTAAATGAAAGTAGACGTTGCATATTGCAAACAAATAACATCCTTTGGAAAATGAGTGTTTTGGTGGCATCTTAACAAGGCATTCAGCCAATTTATTCTCAAAATTTCTTAGCAGGCATCAAGCCACAAGTTGTCCTGGTAAATTATTGACAAGGAGAACTTTTTATTGTGAGTGACAGTTTTGTTCTTTTTTATTTACAGCAATGAAAAGGTACTGGACTGCAGTCAGAATGAAGGTTGGAATCAACATGTATCTCACACCAGAATGAAGCCAGATAAATATTTTGGATTGGATGACAAGCTGAGAAAATGTAATGAACATGGAACAACCTACAGTGATCTCCACTCCTTTCAGAGTAATGCAAGGAGAAAGATCAGTGAGAAAGCCTATCAATGTGGAAAAACTTTCTCCAACCTCAGTGCAAGAACTTATACTGAAGAGAATACCTTTGTAGGTAAGAAAATACTGAAAGCCTCCACTACCCCCAATGGTGATCAAATCCATGAAAGAAATCACAGTGGCTGGAAGCCACATATGTGGAAGCAATTTGGGAAAGCTTTTATTTCTTTTCCCCTTGTTCAAGTACATGAAAAACGATACATGGAAGAGGGACCCAATATTTCTAAGGAACATGTGAAAAATTCCTTTCACGGACCTGAAAGGACTCATACTGGGGAGAAGCCCTACGTATGTAAGCAATGTAGGAAAGCCTTCCCTACACAAAGTAGATGTAAAGTACATGAAAGGAGCCACACTGGGGAGAAACCATATATGTGTAAGCAATGTGGGAAAGCATTCACTAGACAATATAGTTGTCAAATACATGAAAGAAATCATACTGGGGAGAAGCCTCATGTGTGTAAGCAATGTGGAAAAGCATTCAGTAGAAATAGTACTTGTAAAGCACATGAAAGAATTCACACTGGGAAGAAACCCTATACATGTAAGCAGTGTGGAAAAGGATTCACTAGACAGCAGTATTGTAAAATACATGAAAGAAGTCACACTTGGAAGAAACCCTATGCATGTAAACAATGTGGGAAAGCATTCAGCACATACAATAATTGCAAAGTACATGAAAGAATTCACACTGGGAAGAAACCCTATACATGTAAGCAATGTGGGAAAGCATTCACTACACAGCGGTATTGTAAAATACATGAAAGAAATCACACTTGGAAGAAACCCTATACATGTAAGCAATGTGGGAAAGCATTCACTACACAGAGTTATTGTGAAATACATGAAAGAAGTCATATGGGGGAGAAACCCTATGCATGTAAGCAATGTGGGAAAGCATTCACTACAAGGAGTTACTGTAAAGTACATGAAAGAATTCACACTGGGGAGAAACCCTACATTTGTAATCAGTGTGGGAAAGCATTCAACACACAGGGTTCCTGTAAAACACATGAAAGAATTCATACAGGGGAAAAACCTTACATATGTAAGCACTGTGGGAGAGCATTCAGCACACAGGGTTCCCGTAAAATACATGAAAGAATTCATACTGGGGAGAAACCTTATGTATGTAAGCACTGTGGAAAAGCATTCAGCTCATTAAGTGGCCGTCAAAGTCATGAAACTAGTCATAGTGAGGAGAAACCTTATGTGTGCAAGCAATGTGGGAAAGCTTTCACTAAAAAAGTTTTTTGCAAAATACATGAGATAACTCACTCAAGTGAGAGACCCTATGTATGTGAGCAATGTGGAAAAACTTTTAGAAACAGGTGTGCATTTCGTATACATAGACGAAGCCACACTGGCGAGAAACCCTATGCATGTATCCAGTGTGGAAAAGCATTCCTCACATTCAGTATCTGTCGAGTACATGAAAGTACTCATAGTAGGAAGAAGCCCTATGTGTGTAAACAATGTGGGAAAGCATTTGCTACACAGAGTTCCTGTCAAGATCATGAAAGAATTCACACTGGGGAGAAGCCCTATGCATGTAAGCAGTGTGGAAAGACATTCACTGCGCAGAGGTCTTGTAAAGCACATGAAAGAAGTCACACTGCAGAGAAACCCTATATATGTGAGCAGTGTGGAAAAGGATATGCTAGGATATATGAATTTCGTGCACACAGGCAAACCCACACTGGAGAGAAACCCTATGTATGTAAGCTATGTGGGAAAGCATTCGCTACACAGAGTTACTGTAAAATACATGAAAGAAATCACAGTGGGGAGAAACCCTATGCATGTAAGCAATGTGGAAAAGCATTCGCTACACAAAATTACCGTAAAATACATGAAAGAAGTCACAGTGGGGATAAACCCTATGCATGTAAGCAATGTGGGAAAGCATTTGCTACACAGAGTAACTGTAAAATACATGAAAGAATTCACAATGGGGAGAAACCCTATTCATGTAAGCATTGTGGGAAAACATTCACTACACAGAGTTACCGTAAAGTACATGAAAGAATTCACAATGGGGTGAAACCTTATGTGTGTAAGCAATGTGGGAAAACATTTGCTACACAGAGTTACCGTAAAATACATGAAAGAATTCACAATGGGGAGAAACCCTATGCATGTAAGCTATGTGGGAAAGCATTCACTACACGGAGTTATTATAAAGTACATGAAAGAATTCACAATGGGGAGAAACCTTATGCATGTAAGATATGCGGGAAATCATTCACTATACGGAGTTACTATAAAGTACATGAAAGAATTCACAATGGGGAGAAACGCTATGCATGTAAGCTATGTGGGAAAGCATTCACTACGTGGAGTTACTATAAAATACATGAAAGAAGTCACAATAGGGAGAAACCCTATGCATGCAAGCTATGTGGGAAAGCATTCAGCCAATGGAGTACCTGTCAAATACATGAAAAATCTCACATTGGACAAACCCTATGTATGTAAGCAATATGGAAAAAGATTTACTAATATGTATGCCTTTCATGCACAATTGGCAAACCCACACCGGTGAGAAATCCTATGCATGTAAGTAATATGGAAAAGCATTCAGCACACACACTATCAGCCAAAGCTGTGAAAGAATTCCCCGCGGTGTAGAAATCCTATCTATGGCAGCAGTGTGGGAAAGGATTAACTACACACAAATATTGTCAAAGACATGAAAGAACTTCCACTGGGGAGAAAGTGTGCATGTCAGCCATGTGGACCAAGTTTTGCCGGTGAGTCCCCATTTTATAGACATAGAAAATCTCACACTGGGGAGAAACTCTCCATAGAAAAGTAGTGAGGGGAAAGCATTCAGTGAACACAGGTTTTTTGGGGGTTTTGGGTTTGGGTTTTTTTTTTTTGGTACTGGGAATTGAACTCAGGACCTCACATTTGCCAGGGACGCATTGCACCACTGAGCTAAATCCCCAGTACTTAACAGGTCAAATTGGTTTTTTTTGTGTTTGTTTCTTTTTATTTTCTTTCTTTTTTATTTTATTTTTTTTTTTTTGTAATGGGGTTCAAACTCATGACCTTGTGCTTGTCAGGCAGGCACTTACATCACTGAACTAAATCCCTGGCCCTTGAACACAGGTTTTTGTCAAGTACAGGAAGAAAGTCACACTGGAGAGAAATCTTATGTATTTACAAGCCTGTTTTGAGGATCCTGTGAAAATTCCTCATGAAGTAGAGACCTGAACAAGTAAACAATTTTATGTCAGTATTCAAACTTTTTTCAAAAAATACACTCCCAGATGGAGATACCTTAGAATACATTCTATATTTTTCAGTCAGTCACTTATAAATATCTCAACTATGAGGGCTGGGGATTTAGCTCAGCGGCATAAGTGCCTGCCTTGCAAGCAGGCAGTCGTGAGTTCGATCCCCGGTACCGATAAAAAAGAAAAAGACAAAAAAAAACAATATCTGAACTATGTATCTGTTGTCTTTACTATGAAAAATATTGACATAATATATTTTTGTGTAAGCCATTGTCTTTAAACTTAACATACAGTATCTTTTGATCAAACATGTGAAAAGTATTTCTCATTTCCAAGTCAGGTTAGTAATTATGTAGTTTTTTTCTTTGTTTGTTTGTTTGTTTGTTTGCTTTTGCTGTTTGGAGGTACAGGCAATATTTTGTTCATTGTTTTTTAATTGATGGGATTTTCCACTAGCTTTCATTTTAATTTTTTAGTGTATAAAGTTTGCATTCTGTAAAAAGTAATTTTGAATTGATTTTATAAAGCATATGCATATTAGAGACATGTGAATGTGTTTTTGACAAAGTGTGTTTTGTTTTCGAACAACTTGTAGATTAGCAAATGTTTTGTTTCTCATAGCCTAGTGAACTTATACTGCAATGTCCTAACATAATTATTTCAAATACATAATTTCAAATATATAATTTTGTGTATTTCACTTTCATATTGGTGTCAATGTTATGATTTACATCCAATTTTGTTTTCTTACTATAAATATTTTACTTTTCAAGCTTGTATTTTTGTGACTTCTAACTTTGTGTGAATTTTAATATTACTTTTAACAAAAAATAAAAAATACTTCTCTGAGTTTCTAACTGACAGATCAAATGGAGCATAATTTTTCTGTAAAAGGGTATCATGAATTTTAGTAAGTGCTCACTATAGAAGCAAACTTTTTTCTTTTTAAAAAAAGATTAACATAAAAGAGGACATAACAACATAGGTCAGAACAGAACAATTTAAGCAACATAGTGTTTCACCACAAGACAGTCTGACATAACAGTAGCTACTATAGTGTCTCTTTCCTTGAAATATTTGAGGATACCTTCATGTACTATAGTGTCAAACATAAAAAGACAGTGTAAAACTATTCAAAAGAATGAAAGTATTACAGGATATTCAGAACCAACTAACAGAAAACAAACAATGGTTTCTATATTATCTCCTTGTCTATAAAAAACTTTATACTATCACATATAATAAAATCCAATAAGATACAACATGATAAAACCGATGGAGACAGAAGAACAAAAGCTTGGTGGGACTTCAAAACAAGATGATATTAAATCATCACTAGCTATTATAATGTCTTGTTTTCTTCAAAATCGCTGTCCATACCATCACAGACAATAAAAGCAAACAATCCAAAATAAAACCATTCCAATTAATGAATGAAAACGTAAGGCTTCAAAGAAGTATGATGGGAAATCATGATTATCACATACTTTTATGTATTCTTACCATTTTTCCACTAGGGAAAGATATTTCCCTACTAGGGTAGGTATTTATACACATGAGTATGATTTATTTCGCTTATGAGTATGGTCTCAAGCTGCGCCCATTTATTTATAAATATCTCAGTGTGATCATGGTTTATAGCTGAGTACTACTCCATTGTATAAAAATACCACAACTTTTTTATCCATTCCTCAGTTGATAGACACTTAGGTTGTTTCCAATATCTGGCTATTACAAATTGTGCTTCAATAAATATGATGCACATATATCACTGTGGTATGATGCTTTCAGTTCTTCTGGGAATATGCCTAGAAGTGGAATAGCTGGAACAAATGGGACTTCCAATCCCAGCTTTCTGAGAAATCTCCAGAATGGCTTCCACAATGATTGCACCAGTCTATACTCCTACCAACAGTGCAGGAGAGTTACTTTTTCCCCACAGCCTCTCCAGCATTTGTTGTTGGTAGTTTTCATGATCCTGGCCATTCTTTCTGGAGAGAGATGGAATCTCAGTGTGGTTTTAATGTGCATTTCTCTAATGAGTAATGATGATGAACATTTTTTTATAATGGGAAATGGGTATTTATTTGCCATTTGTATTTCTTCATCTGAGAATTGTGTATTCATCCCAGATGCCCATTTTTGGACTGGATCCTTGAATTGGGGGGGGTCTGATTTTTAAAAATTCTTTATATGTTTTAGATAGAAGATCTTTGTCTGAGGGACAGTTCACTAGGATTGTTTCCCAGTTTGTAGTTTTCTTTTCACTATGCTAGAGATTTCTTTTGACATGCAGAAACTTTTTAATAAGACATGATCCCAGTTGTTGATTCTGGGAAGTATTTCCCATGCGGTTTGATTCCTGTTCATGAATTCTCTACCTACCCCTATGTCTTTAAGGTTTTTACCCAACTTGTCTTCCAATAGATTTAGTGTTTCTGTTTTAATATTCAGATCTTTGATCCATTTAGATTTTAATGTAGTACATCGTGATAGCCATGGGTCTAGTTTTAGTTTTCATGCTTATGAGGAGCCAGGTTTTCTGACACCATTTATTAAAGAGACTGTCGTTCTTCCAGTGAACATGTTTGGTCCCTTTATCAAAAATAAGGTGGTTGAGTGTCTTTGTAGTTGTGGTTGTATCTTCTAATCTATTCCATTGATCTTTGGCTCTTCTTATTCCAGTACCATGTTGATTTTACTACAGTTGCTTTGTAGTATAACTTCAAGTCAGGGATTGTGATGCCTCCTGCCTTGTGTTTGCTGCTTAGTACTGTCTTTGCTATTCTAGGTTATAGAAACAAACTTTTTTAAAAAAATTTTATTTAAGGAGAAAAAGAAAAAAAGCAGAGAAACGGTACAAGTTATACAGATTTACAGAAAAAAATAAACAGTAGGAAATCACTAGTTAATGGATTACATATTGTCATCTTAGAAATAATTGTTTGAGTTACAAAATTAAAGCTTATAAAGTGGACATTCCAACAGTGAGACTGCAAACAGTTCTGTTCAATGATCCAACAAAACTCAGTGATATCATTATCTATCTTATATACTTAAATATACATGCAGTTATATCGTTTAGAGCACTTTCTTTTCCTCTCTTTTGTACAATGACAATTACACATTTTGGGTGTTGTTGCTCCCACAGTTCTTATTACTTTTTTGGAAGAGAGTAGAACCAAATGTGACATAACAGAACAGAGTCAATCAAATCAAAAGGGTGGACATAATAGATAATGTAAAAGCATAATACAAGGTGATCAACAATGGTTACCATAATGCCTCCTGCTATCTCTAATAGAATTGCCTATATCATCAGTTATAATAAAATTGAACAAAACAGTAAAGAACAAAACTGAAAAAACCAAAACATTGGAGACATTATAGGTCTTCAAAAGTAGATAATAGTCAACCAGAATGGGCGTCATAATGAATCCCACTATCTTCACAGCTGTTGCCTAAACTTTCAAACCTGGTACTATCAAGCAAAACAGAATAGAGGGACATCAGTGAAAACAAATGGTGAGAGCAATACAAGGCTTTAAATCAAGATGATGGAAAGTCAAAGTGGGTTACTCTACTATATCCTGCTATTTTTTATTTCTTTCTCCCTTAATTAAAAGGATAAAAATAAAAACGCAAATAATAAAGTGGAGATTGAGATAAAAGAGGGCATAACAGCAAAACAGCGCAGATCAAAACATAACCATTTAAGCAAAGTAGTGCTTCACCACAAGATAATCCCAACATAAAAGTAGTTACCATATTGTCTCTTTCCTTGAAATCTCTGAGTATAACTTCATATACTGTAGCATCAAATATATCAAAACAATGTAAAACCATTTAAGAGAATGACAGTATTACAGGGTATTTAGAATCAACTAACAGAAAATGAACAATGGTTTCTGTATAATCTCCTTGTCTATAAAAGATTTTGCTTATACTATCATACATATTAAAACCCAGTAAGATACAACCTGTTTAGACCAATGGGGACAGAAGAACAAAAGCTTGATGAGACTTCAAAACAAGATGATACTAAATCAGTATTACCTATTAAGACGTCATTTTCTCCAAAATAGCTGTTCTTACCATCCAATCTTCTCTGTCTCATTTCTGTTGAGCTCTTTTTCTGTCATTAGTTGTCAGTTTGTCTTCTTCATTTTGTTTTATGCTCCATTCATTGTGGCTTCTCTGCCACTATTTCTGGATTCTTCGTATTTTTCTTTTTTAGAATGTCCTGCAGTATTTATAGAAACAAACTTAATGTAAGATATACAAATATATAAGAATTTATGAGATGGGTTTAAAATGGCTTCCTGCACAATCAGATGTGGAAGAGTGCAAAATGTCTCTCTGCCTTGATTATCCAAATCATCCAGTTGAAGGCCTGGAACCCTGCAAGTCTGTATCAGTAAACCAAAGGCTCTTTTGCCATATGAGGGAATGGTCTTGTTGGAAGCTGAAGAAACTGCTGGAAGCTAAGAGATGACTTCCAAGATGACAGTGAATAGTGGTGCTCCTCCCCATACCTGACAGTCCTGTTATCTATCCTCTGGTTTTCATATTCCCATGGACACCCTTCATCTGGAAACTCAGCCACCTCCCTGACCAGCTCTTCCACTGCTTGTCCTGTACTGCAATGGGAGACTCTGGGCCTGGAGCAATGGACCCCATGAAATCACTGAGCTCTTTTAGGGCTTAGTCAACACCCTTCACCCAGAGGCAGACCCAGAATCTGCACGTCTTCTGCCTCTGTCAGACCTTTATATACAAGAATGCATCTCACATACAAATGCTTCACGATGTACCAGATACATTCATGTTGCACATTAGCTTAAATTCTTGCTGTATTTCAATATTTAAGATGTTTTCAAAGATTTATAAATCTAGTCAAGAACCTGAAACAATACTGACTCCTTCTCTTTCTGGTGCTGGCTCCCAGATGTAAGTGTAGGAAAATTCAGACAAGGTGATCTGGAGATGCTGCATCTGAATTCAGGACTCACCCTTTTCTCCATTCCCACAGTCCTGTCCCAGTGCAGCTGCAAAAGGCCAGACCTAGCCTAGTAAAGTCCACATAGCCCTGTCCCTGAAGTCTTGTGTCAACCCATACATCAACTCTGGCTACTCTAGCTGTGACCTGCTGGAAACTGTTGCTGTAACTAGATCCATCTGCCCCAGGAAGGAAACTGAGTGAATGTGGCAGGATGATAATAGTGGAGGCACAGATTATAATTCAACCCTGACAAAAGAAGTCAGAATCTCTAAAGACACAGCCAAGATCCATTTTTCCCTGCAACTACACTCAGTATCCATGGAAATCACAGTGGTGCGGTACTGCTCAAAACATATTCTGAGGGGACACCCGTGTGGGTATATAGAGGTTGCTGGGGACCAGAGTGGCATGCTCAGTTGGGGGTGCTCACGAGAAAGAGCAAGAACTACCTGAGGCCACAAGGTGGCGCGCAGGGCCAGTAGAGAAAGCTCTGGACCAGCACAACCAGCCCGGGGAGGAAGTGCACAGGAGGAGTCTCAGGACTGAGAGCTTGCCCTCCGTCTCTGAGTTTCCTCTCTGTCTTAGAATCATATAAGACATCATCTCTGCCTTAGCATCATAAGTATATCGCTTATTCTGGAAAGAAGACTGAATCTTAAAAACCTAGATGCTTTGAAATGCTGAGTTACTATGATCGTCACCTAAAATTAGAGTGTTAATTTTCTCACCAGGAGGAGGGACTGTTTCAGCAGTAATAAATGTGTAGTTTAGGAAAAGCTAGAATAAAAGAGCTATAGGAAGGGTATTTTATGGAAAAACAAGAATTTATGAATACTGCTCCATTACATATAGTGACAATGGGCATGAT